ATATATTCTGAAATTACATGATGATTACTGGGGTGGGTGGGTGGGCACTCTCACTCAACTCTCCGCACAAAGACAAAAGAGGCCGACCCTGCACTCGTCACCTCCTTTTATCCCACACCGTGCTCCCTCATACCCGTTCCTGGGAGGACAGAGAACACTACTTCTCTGCTAATTCTTATACTGTGACGTCAACCGCAGAGAAGTGACATCACTACAGTCATAAGTCTCCACTTTTTCAGATCTAAAAGAATGTGCGTGGCACCGGCGTGAAGCACACTCACTAGATCATCCCTTGGTTGTTTTTGCATCGTAGCAGCTAATGAAGCGTTGGTTTTCATGGGCAGTTTTCTTCCAAATCGGAATGGCAAGAGTACTTTCCTTTAGTCGGAGTCAGTGCTTTTCATTGCTAACTGTGTGTTATACCACAGCGTTCTGAAGAAAGTCACTTTCCAGAAGAAATTTTCGAGACTGACTGGTATTAGCACAGTAGTTCTCGGAGAGCTAAGATTGCAAGATACGAACCACCAAAGCCTTGGGCGCTGGTCATAAATTTCAACATTTTCATTAGAAACTGAAAGGCAAGAGTACTTTCCTTGAGTCGGAGTCAGTGCTTCTCATTGCTATACCACAGCGTTCTGAAGAAAGTCACTTTCCAGAAAATATTTCGAGACTGACTGTTACAAGCACAGTAATTCTCGGAGAGCGAAGATTGCAAGATACGACCACCAAACTCTTGGGCGGTGGTCATAAATTTCAACATTTTCATTAGAAACTGAGCCCGATCGAGGCTTGCAGCCATAATGATAATTCAATGACCTCCTAAATATTTCACCAGGGTCACATTGGTCATTGTGGAAAATCCGTTATCAGTGGAACATACTACATTGCAATACTTCTTATCACTGACAGGAGAAGATTCCTTCAAGAGTCCGAGGTTCTTGTTTGCAATAGCCAAAATCAGGGAAGTCTTGAACATCAGCTTACAAGTATCTCTCTGCCTTTGCTAGTAAGTTTAGCTTTATGGTCGACTCTCTTTCACCATTACGGATGTACCGCCGGTATTAGGCTTTCCGGTAAATTTCCCTTTGGACTTTGGCCAGGCTGTCAGTCAGAGCTACATATCCAGTGGTGGCTGTGTGCAATCCCTGGTGTTCAACATACATATACATCTACATGTACAGCATTTTCATTATTCTTGTCCAGATTCCAGTAGTAGTGCAGTACTGGGTTTTCACGATTGCTCCACACACAGTCATATTATGTACATGTCCAGTCCAGTGCAGCACCTATATCATGATGTGTTGTCACATACTTTTACACAAGCATACAAATCTCCGTCAGAGAAGGATTACCGGTACACAGGTACATACGCACAATAGGTACTAGCATAGCCCAACATACATCAAGGTCATTGCCAGCAAGTCAAACCAAAACAAACCAAAACATCTTCATACGCCACTGCATGGATGAGTCGGTCCCCGGCTCCATGTACTAACCTTCACACTCGTCTCCACTCAACACTGCAGTATACTGATACAGGTAATCAACTTTGACAGCGTGTGTAGGAAGAACAACGAGTCTAGAATCTACTCCAGGACATGTAGAAGACTCAACATCATTCCAGGTAGTTAGTTCGATTTGATCCGCTAGCACTGTCCAAAAGACTCGCAGTGTCCACTCAACTCGTATACGGACAGTCGGACTAATGCCTGAAGTATTGGTGAGCGATGGTCTGCGCAAGGAACGTTAGTTACACTTACAAAGTACGCGTTCAAAGTTTCAAACAGTGGCTGGGCTTCTACTTGGCGATTGTTCAACTGGTTCTAGAAGTCACTGAGCTAGCGTGCAACGAAATGAGTTCCTAACTCTGCGGGGGCCTGCAGACCGACGACTACCACTCTTATCAGTTAGACAGGAATCCAAGACAGAAAACTAAAAAAAACTATCTCGGACCAGCTCCAAAGCCAAAGCCAAAGGCTTCACGTCCGTGACAACACTGACTCAACGAAACATGGTTAAAGGGGAAGTTAAGGCAAAAATTAAAATTTCACCAGTTGTAGTCTTCGGGGTGCTGAGTCGAATTGTCTTGGTCCGAGGAAGCTGAGACGCTCCCTTCCTACTTGAATTCCAATCGAACTCGCGCACTTCCACCGAAACTGGGTGACTGCGCCCTACGAGATGGGGATTTGTATGCAAAATGTCACTAAAAGCGCCATTTCGTTCTTATAAAAGCACGGATGACCGCGATTGGCCCATATGTTGTAGTCTTTTGGACGCTGAGTCGACTGGTTTTGGTCCGAAAAGGCTGCGATGCAGCGTTCCTCCTTTATTCCCAATCGAACATGGTTGAACAAGTGGTCACGTGCGCCTGGGTGCCCAAATCACCTGGTCACCACGCCAGCAGGTGACAACTTTCACACCAAGGTTCAACTCGAGTTCAACTCGAGTGACCGGACTGCACCCAAAAAGGTCAAACAGGCTAGTAAGTTGTACCCTGCAGGCACGGTGACCAGGTGACTGGCGTACGCAGGAGCACGTGACCGCTTGTTCAACCATGTTCGATTGGGAATAAAGGCGGAACGCTGCATCGCAGCCTTTTCGGACCAAAACCAGTCGACTCAGCGTCCAAAAGACTACAACATATGGGCCAATCGCGGTCATCCGTGCTTTTATAAGAACGAAATGGCGCTTTTAGTGACATTTTGCATACAAATCCCCATCTCGTAGGGCGCAGTCACCCAGTTTCGGTGGAAGTGCGCGAGTTCGATTGGGATTCAAGTAGGAAGGGAGCGTCTCAGCTTCCTCGGACCACGACCATTCGACTCAGCACCCCGAAGACTACAACTGGTGAAATTTTAATTTTTGCCTTAACTTCCCCTTTAATCCACCGCCGGGTACCCGGGTACCGACACTCCAAGTCCAAGTGGTCCGTGCTGGAGGAGATCAAGCGCCACAGAAAAATACATGACTGTACAGGACGTCCGACGTCACCATGGTCACGGTTCCTTCGATACGCATAGCAACGGTCCATGCACACTACACAGTACACTAAAAACAAGAGTACATGGTTTTCATGTACTCTTGCTAAAAATCACAAAAGAAATCGTCCTCTCCACCGAACCAGTTGCCAGTGGCAACACATGCAAGTCGCATACATGCACTTGACTTAGATTCTTCTTTTGTTGGTTTCAGTGTTTTCTCTTTCTCATTGATCTCGACAGTGTTTGTGGTGCTCGTTACCTTACTGAGACATCTCTTGTGACCGTGCATGGTCAGTGTCACCAACGGCGCAACGAGGCGGAGCGCCGGTATCGAGCGTGTAAAAATGCTCTGCATTAGCAGCTCCTGTAGTGTAGAATGAACACTTCATCCATCGATTGCCGCTATGCATTTCGTGTTGTGGTCACAGATAATCTGGGCAAATGTAAAACTACCAACTGGAGAGTGCTATGGTGTTAGGGCGGTGTCCCAAAGTGTCATCACATGGCTGTGGAGACTAGTACACACCTGGAGGAATATTTCTACTACAGTGATACGGAGTGATATGGAGTGCAGATGGATGGATAGAAAAGAAAACTGAGATGATGGGAAGTAAGTACATGTCATGTAAGTTGATTGTGTGGAAGAAATTTGAAATAAGATAAAATAAAAGTTTTACTCAAACATACATGTAACATCCTGATTATATAGTATTCCGTCTTCATTTTTCCAGGTAGTGGCACTCCACACGCTCCGATTACCTGGTGTATGTGTGTGCGTGTTGTGTGTGTGTGTGTGTGTGTGTGTGTGTGTGTGTGTGTTTGTGTGTATGTGGGCACTCCAGTCTCCCCGGAGGTGTGGGTTCGAATCCCACCGCTGCCACCAGTGTTAGCTGCTCCCGGCTAATGAAGTCCCCTCACACCAAAACACAAGAGTGTTATAGTATTGAATTATGCAAGTACAAGAGTGAAGACAAGAAGGAGAACAGGACAACGACAACTCAAGACTAGTGCCAGCTAGTTCGGTTGGTAGGTACACTTATGCCTGATTGTGTTGGGTCTGTTGCCAACAGGCACGGCTGCTTGAAGGTGTAATGTTGTACCTGCCACCTTTGTTGGTTCCAGGGTTCATATACTTTCTATTTGAAGTATACATACCTGTTAACCATGGACTGCTTCTGGCTAGATTAACTCTTGTGTAATAAATGGTGCTAGTGAAGCTTATATGAGATCCACTCTGATTTAGCCACCCACACTAGTAGCAAGTATTACCTTCACTGGGGGCAGGGGTAACTGCAGTTGGATCCCGGGACGGATACCCTGATTCCGTCAATCCTTTTTCTGCAACTTGGCCTCGCCCACTTACTGAGTTGTGATGAGCCCATAAGTGAGATCATTTTCAAGTCCACCCAGAGTTTTGGGGATTTCAGGGGGTTTCAGCCATTGGGTGGTTCAATAGCCAATAGAGTCATCTTTCCAAGATTCCTTTTGAGTCTCTCCCCTCTCCCGGGGAGACCCACGTGACCCAGTTTTGGCAGTGAGCAACAAGTACAAGTGTGTGTGTGTGTGTGTGTGTGTGTGTGTGTGTGTGTGTGCTTGCGTCCATAGCCCTTCCAAAGACCCTTGGAGTGCCTGAGGACATTGGTCACATCGTACGGGAGCGGCGTTTGCGCTGGCTTGGACACGTGACACGGATGGAAGATCACCGGTTGCCCAAGTGTGTTCTCTTCGGTGAACTGCCTGCCCCGCGTCACGCGCATGGTCCAGGCAAGAGGTGGAGGGACGTCATTATGGATGACGTTTCTTCGGTTGAGCCACCGGTACCAACATGTTGATGGTACGGTGCAGCCCAGAACCGTCCGGAGTGGCGTTCCATTGCCCGTCGACCACCCAAGGCACCCTTCTGCTGCTGGCTACGGTTGCGCCTGCGGCCGCATGTTCCGTCGAAGCGGCGACCTGAAACGCCATCAGTCGTTCTGTTGTGGACTGGAGAAATAACTATGCGCTATCATTGCTACGCAATGGGCAAAGTCAAGGTGTGTGTGTGTACAGCATGTGTGTGCGTGTATTTTTGTGTGTGTACAGTGTGTGTGTGTGTGTGTGTATGTGTGTGTGTGTGTGTGTTTGCACAGTATGTGTGTGTGTGTATTGTGTGCCACGAACCTTTCTGCCGGTTGCTGCCATATTAGTCTTTCTCTATCATTGCCTCTGGCAATGGGCAAGTTCAATGTTCAAGTATGTGTGTGTGTATAGTCATGCACACACTCTCGTGTGTGGTTGAGTTGGCTAGACAAAGTGACCGTGCATGGGCACGAGGTTTCCGTCATGTCGATGGTACAGTCGACCTACCCTTATAACGATATTTGCGTCACACCAATAAATATTGTTATAAGGGTAATATTGTCATTAGGGTAACTGGTTCATTTCATACACATACGTCATAATCTTTAGAGCCACACAAGTTTTGTGCTATGTTGCTATGCGTCCTTGAATCTTGGTTTGACCATACTGTCCAATGGTCTTGCCAGTATCATCATCGACATGCATGTACATCGGCCTTCACAGCTGAGACTTTCAGCTTGTGCTTGTTTTGGTTGTGCTCACCTTCCCCTCCTATGTTATCATATAACTAAGAACATTCCAAGTTGGAATGCTGTTGGAGTGCGCATCCAAGACTTGCTAGAGCTAATAGCCAGTTAGTTGTAGAAGGTCAGTACCGTCGGTCAGTGATGGGGCCTTCTGGCGAGATGGGGCGCTCTTGTGCTAATTGACGGTCCAGTACTAGTGTTTGAGTTCGAGTTTGATAGAAGAGTGTGCTTTACTCTATTCAGTCTCACACACCACGCCAATGTTATGCTGGCAGGCATGTGAGTTCACGTTTCCCCGGCCGTGTCGTCAACTCACTGCGAACGGTTCAAATAGCAACACCCGCCCAATAAGGAAAGTTGTGAGGACAAATGCGGGAAATTGGAACTGCAAACAACTTGTGTGTAAACTACTTCTACTTCTGCCTAAGCTAATGAAACATTTGCTGTTGCTGCTTCTGCTGCTGTTGTTTCTGCTGCTGTTGCTGCTTCTGCTGCTGTTGCTGCTTCTGCTGCTGCTGTTTCTGCTGCTGTTGCTGCTGCTGCTGTTGCTGCTTCTGCTGCTGTTGTTTCTGCTGCTGTTGCTGCTTCTGCTGCTGTTGTTTCTGCTGCTGTTGCTGCTTCTGCTGCTCTTGTTTCTGCTGCTGTTGCTGCTTCTGCTGCTCTTGTTTCTGCTGCTGTTGCTGCTGCTGCTGCTGTTGTTTCTGCTGCTGTTGCTGCTTCTGCTGCTCTTGTTTCTGCTGCTGTTGCTGCTTCTGCTGCTGTTGTTTCTGCTGCTGATGTTTCTGCTGCTGTTGCTGCTGCTGTTGCTGCTGTTGTTTCTGCTGCTGTTGTTTCTGCTGCTGTTGCTGCTTCTGCTGCTCTTGTTTCTGCTGCTGTTGCTGCTTCTGCTGCTGCTTCTGCTGCTGTTGTTTCTGCTGCTGTTGCTGCTGCTGCTGCTGTTGCTGCTTCTGCTGCTGTTGTTTCTGCTGCTGTTGCTGCTGCTGCTGCTGCTGTTGCTGCTTCTGCTGCTGTTTTTTCTGCTGCTGCTGCTGTTGCTGCTGCTGCTGCTGCTGCTGTTGCTGCTTCTGCTGCTGTTGTTTCTGCTGCTGTTGCTGCTGCTGCTGCTGTTGCTGCTGCTGCTGCTGATGGTTCTGCTGCTGTTGCTGCTTCTGCTGCTGTTGCTTCTGCTGCTGTTGTTTCTGCTGCTGTTGCTGCTTCTGCTGCTGTTGCTGCTTCTGCTGCTGTTGCTGCTTCTGCTGCTGATGCTTCTGCTGCTGCTGCTGTTGTTTCTGCTACTGTTGCTGCTGCTGCTGTTCTTGTTCTTGTTCTTGGTTTCTTCTCTGCAGTACGCCGCTTTATCGGCTGAGAACCAACGGTCTTACGGTAGCACCATTCGCCGTGTATCAGGAGGTATGGCAGGAAGCTTGTAGAGTCTTTGCTCAATGTTGTTTCGCTCTGCTGCAATTGATCTTCTCTTATCGTGCAAGTGATCAGCCATGCATGTGTACAGTGTGTACAGGTCAGGCCAGAGAAATTTAACCTCATATGAGTACCTCACCAACAAAGCCTAGCCAGGTTCGCACTCGGTTTCCCTATCAACACTTATTTTTTGGCTAGAACAGTGCAGTAGCAATAGCCGAAACAGGGAGAACGCAACACGTGTGGCCGAGCAAGTGACATACAACATAAACAAGACAAACATACTTTGTACATTCACATACAGCAACTTCTCTAATAACCACTGCGTGTATAACGACAATTCGCGAATACGACAGAATTTCCATGCCCAGAGCAAAGTGACACACAGCATAAACAAGACAAACGTACGTTGTACATTCACACACTTTTAAAAGTTTGTATACATGTATGTGATTGCATTGATATGCTTTGGTTTTCTTTGGTTTTCTTTCCTCAAAGGAGAAGTGACGCGTGCATGGTATATGCATAGACCGTTGCAGTTCGTGTGAATGCATCAGACGCACACATGTACAGTCAACTTCGCTTATAACGACACCCGGCGGGGCATCAGAAAGTGTCCTTATTCGCGAAGTGTCGTTATACCCGAAGTCTCATTATATGTGTTATAGTTAGAAGGGACTTTGCTCTGGGCATGAAAATTCTGTCGTTATTCGCGAATTGTCGTTATACCCGCAGTCGTTATTAGCGAAGTAGACTGTACAGGACACTTTGCATTTTTCAAACTGAAACCGTATACATAAGCATGCGTGCGCGTGTGTGTGTGTGTGTGTGTTTGTTTGTGTGCGGGGGGGGGGGGGGGGGGGTACGTGTACGTGTGAAGAGCAAAAACCAGTACTGATAAATTGATAATGCAGGCCAAGCAGAGAGGAACGCAAAGCAGACAATCACCTCTACATTGCAATCTCCTACAAATAACACATACATGTACATGTAGCTTCATAAGCAGAAAACGAGATATTGTGAGCGCGACAGACAGACTCACACACACACACACACACACACGCACACACACACACAAACACCCCCCCCCCCCCCCCCCCACAGACTAGAGTCCGGCGGATTCTGCCGGCAGAAAAATTGGCAGAATTCGGTACTTTTTCTGGTAAGGTTCATGCATGTTTGGTATGTGGATAAAGAAATGGAGCAGAATTCGAGGAATTGCCCGCCATAAGGTTTGTATGGTTCTGCCAATTTCACTGCTTTTCCAGCAGAATCTGTCACCTTTTCGAGCAGAATCCGCCGGTCCCTACCACAGACACACACCACGAGACCATAAATCTGAAACGGCATGCATTTTGACACACACACGCACACATGCACACATACACACACACACACACACACACACACACACACACAACACACACACACCACAAGACCATACATCTGAAACGGCATGCGTTTCGACAGGCTTTAGATTTATTATTAGAAGTCCACGAGTTAGGTGATCCACATCAAGGCAATACGCACCACCAGCCCAGCTACATGTACCGATATCTCATACCATACAGCAACTGAACGCGACACACATACTACACACAAGAGCGCGTACAACGGCAACTTTCTCCTTATGCTTACGGTTGTCGAATACAGCATTGACGACACACCGAGACACACAGAGGAACACAAACTAGGGTCTACAATGTACACACATACATGTGCATGCACAATGTACATGTATACACAGCTACACTGTATGCGTTTGCGTGTTTTCATGCTCCCTTCAAAGGTTTATGTATACGGCATGTAAGATTTATGTTCCTTGAGTACGCCCACTTTGAAGGTCGAAGTTGGATTATACAGGGCGTGAACAGGTGAGATTTTTATGTCTAGCTGTTAATTACCCTTACCTTAGCCCACCAAGGAAATCGGAACAATAAAACTCGATGGTGCTCCAACTTCATTTCGACGTAGAAAATTCGCTGTTTGAACATCTCAATTTCAAAGGGTAACCACTGATTTCGCTGTGAAAAACGTTTCCTGATCGCCATAAAAAAATTCCTGCCGACACACACCATAACAAGCTCCAAGTTCACAAACAGTGGCCACAAACGGTTGCTCGTCATGAAGGTGGTTCGACACTTTCGACCAAATTCGTTCACTTCCGTATTCAGTTGACAATTATTTTTGCCGTCATTTGGGCCCAAAAGCGCAAAAATCAGTGTAAGTCTCGATTAGTGGGAGAGATATGTTTTTTGCACGCTTGAGGATGGACTGATTGACTTGACAGCAAGAATGCCTTGATATCTCACATATGAATATTTTTCGAAACAAAACTCACCTTAACCCACCCACCCATATTAAAACAAAACTTTTTTTCTCTTCGTGTAAAAGATGGATAATTGTGGACGGCCCTTAAGAAGTACAGTGTTGCTAAATGAAATCCCGTCGCGTTGCTCAAGTACACGCCACTGGACGTTGTGCAGCCCTAGACCTGTCAACACTAGGCTGTGAAATAATGTAAGACACAAACTTGAGTGACACGGCTGAATTCGGGGGTGAGCGGCACTGCAACTTGGTTACTTTTTTAAAGAACACTTTCCTGCTGCCCATCCTGGGGGTACGTCTTATCAGATTACTTTGGAGCACTGACCCAGCAGTAACTGTACATTGATGATACTATGGAGTACTGACTGGCAGTGTCTGTACATTGATGATACTATGGACTACTGACCCAGCAGTGTCTGTACATTGATGATACTATGGAGTACTGACTGGCAGTGTCTGTACATTGATGATACTATGGACTCCTGACCCAGCAGTGTTTGTACATTGATGATACTATGGAGTACTGACTGGCAGTGTCTGTACATTGATGATACTATGGAGTACTGACTGGCAGTGTTTGTACATCAATTTTTTACGCGTGGTGAACTGCGCCGACACCCACGGTCAACTGGGTACTCACAGCTCGGAGTGAGGGTAACAAGGATGCAGTTTACAGGGTTATGGGCCGTTACACGCCCGATTGGTTGA